CAGACAGACAGACAGACAAAGAGACAAAGAGACAAAGAGACAAAGACTGACAGACATACTTGTTTGCTTACTTACTTGCTGGGTTGCCTACTTACCCACGCACTTCTCTTTGCGTTACGTTACTCGACTTTCCTTCGTTTCACTGAACTTCTTCGCATCCATTTACTTTACTTTGTTTCCCTTAATTAATTCAATTCACAACTTGCTGCATGATTCCGATGTACAGGTACTAAGTACAAACTACTGAAGAATACGTACCCATGAAGGACACGATAGATGTCTCGTCGCCTCAGGAGGAGTTCGGCACGTCGGCAGTACATCAGCGAGGACGCACATCCTAGGGGAAAAGGGAAAAGGTGGGGGGAATTTGTTCGAAACAGCCTTCCAGAATCCAGCTAAGATGTGCTGGAAAGGCTCCCGGCTCTTTGGGAGGACATGGCTCTGTTGAAACGCCAGTCAGGTCTGTTTTGGTCAGCATCGACCAGGTTGGTGTGACAGAGTTCGTGGCTTGCCGAGGGGCAACAGCAATACTAGGCGAGTCTACACTCTAGACGGCAGACGGCAGTTGAGTCCCAGCAAGCACTGACGAGTATGCCAACTAAAATCAATGTTCATAACCGTGGCCATGGCAGAATCAATTCCTTTTGAAAAAAGGATGACATTAAGCTTGGTTAAGGACGATGGTCAGGATGCAGGATTCTGAAGTAGCAATAGCGGTAGCCATCAACTGCTGATATTGCCCACTCCAGTTATCCAAGCGCCCCGGCCCAAAGCGATGGCCGCCGAAGCTTTCTCCACGGCCTCGCCAAGATTTCGCAGGGAAGAAGTCTGGCTTCGATTTCAGGACGTCGATCGTAAACCCGAGGTCCGTCCCGAAATCCTAAACCATCCTAAACTCAATACAACCCCCTATATTAAAGGAACCTATAGTCATAAAACCAAAAACTATAGAGGGAACGAAAAATGTGATATCACATAATCTAATACGGTAGCTAGTTGCGTCTAGTTGCGAGATATAGAACGACACCGAGAAGCAACAATGACAGTAGGAAGTAGCTGACTCATTGCAGAGCATTGAAAGCACAATCATTCAACCCTGAAGCAATAAATAACAATAACAGACACCTCAAAAGCCCTAAAATCCCAAACCCGAAAACCTCAACTGCTTTCTTGTGTCGGCCTCTTCGAGGTCCCCACGCTCCGCGGCCTCTGCTGCGGCCTTGTCGGACGGAGGCTTCGGATTGCTCTTACAGTTGCTGATTTGTACCGGTGCCGCTCTGCGAATATAGTGCAACAGGATAAAGTCAGGTGGCAAATAGGGCACTGTAAACGAGGATTTCTGACCAGGACCGATAATTTGCTCAAACGGAGGAGTTGCTGACGTCCCGGCCTCGGATTTACACTTCGAAAAGGCCTCTATGGGGGAAGGGGCCATACAAGTCTATGTTAGCAGAACTCCCCGATTCAACGAAATGTCGTCATGGCGCAGCATTTTCTGTCTGAGGGGGGACGGAGGTGAATGAAAACGGGACTAAGCGAAACCCACACAACGTTGAGAGAGTCGGCCTCTTTCAATGCAGCTTGCTCTTCCGCAGCCTCCTGTCGAGGAGCAGGCTCTGCAGCTTCAGTTTGCGATTGAAGCTTACCGAAGCTTCCACACAGCATGGTAGAAGTATCTACAAATGCAGATGGTACATGCAGATGTCATCTTAACATGTGTCCACAGGAAACAAAAGACATGCCAAACCTCCGTCAGCTCCGTCACAGATGGAGGGGCCAAAGGAAGGAAGGGCTCATCGTCGTCAGCCAGCGGCGCCATGACCCTATTCCTAACAGTGAGGTGCTTTATGTCTTGGGGTATAGGTCCCGCCCGTTGGAGCTCGTGACCAGTGCTTCCCTTCCTGTTCACTTTGAAGGAAGCTCTGGGGCTTTGTTCCAGGTTCCATTCCATGTTCTTTGGCTCTGAGCCAGCAGCTCTGGGATGCACAGACATGAGACGCGCTTTCAATCTTCCGAGCTGTTGCGCTGAAGTTCCCTAAACCCTAAACCCTAAACCCCTAGTTACACGACACCTCGCCCCACACCACTAAGTAACCCGTCGGCCAGCCCGACAGCCCAAATATCAACCAAAAATTCCCGAAATTCAATACCCGAAATCCTATTAAGCCCAAATCCCCGTAAACCCATATTCCCAAAACCCCGTTATACCCATATGCCAAATATATACCCGTAAATCTTAGCCCAAATCCCCGTAAACCCATATTAAATCTTAGCCCAAAATCCCCGTAAAACCATATTCACGAAATCCTATTCCCAAATCTCAAGCCTAAACCTCAAAAAAACACCTTCCCCCATAAATCCCAGTTATTCCTTAGCCCGTAAACCCCGAAAGCACCTTCCCCCATAAATCCCCGTTATTTCTTAGCCAAATTCCCAACCGTAAAACCCAAATCCCAAATCCCTAATACAATTACCCATAAGCCCTAAACTTGGGTTTAGGGTTTAGGGTTTAGGGTTTAGGGTTTAGCGTTTAGGGTTTAGGAAACTGGAATTCAGGCAGATGACCATACTAAGACT